TTAAAAATATAAAAAATTAATGATAAAAGTAAAAAAAAATTAACCTAATGATATTTTTGAAAAAAAAATAATTGGAAAGGTACCGTATGAAGAGTGTGGTGGTGGTGGAGGGAGCAACACCCTATAAATAGGAGGATTTAACATTTTGAAAATATTGAAATGTTTATGTCACTAGCATATTTTTTAATGAAATTATCATCTATTTTTATTGCCTTCATTTTTTTATATATAATGTATAAAACTTGGTCTTTGTGATTTATGTTGCATCCTTTAGTTATGTTACACTTATATTAAATAAGATTGTTTTTATTACATCCTATCAAATTTTTTCCACACTAGATTTTATTTTCCCAAATATACTAAGTCAATTCCAACAATATTTCTTTTGAAAAACACTCATCTACTTTTTCGAAAGAGACTCACTCAATCCTATTTTACATAAAAAAGAAATTGAAAAAATGCATGAAGAAAATTGATTAGATATAAGAAATAACATCTACTCAATAATTGCACAACCCTTGAACAATTTAGTGCGTTGTCAAAAGACAATACATTACTAGACAATAAATTACTCACTAATAATAGTGGTAAAATATGTCAACCTAACCCATTTTGGTCTGGTCTGTTCTTGACACGCCGAAATCAACTTGAATCGGGATGATCCGCTCGAAAAGGGCTAGCCGTTGTACCTATCAAGCAATTGGATAAACCATATTTTTCTTTTTTAATTTTAAAAATTGTTATATATACATAAAATAAATATTAAACATATTTAATTATATAAATATTTTCTAACATTTTAGTTGAATAATTAATATTTTTTATTCAATAAATAAAAATAATTATTTACATTTACTTGTTAAATTAATGTATTATAATTAAATTTAGAATTTAATTTGCAAGTTTTAATTATTTAAATTACAATATTATATTTACATAATTTTAAAAAAATTATAATATAAAACATATTTTTTTAAGATAATGTTTTATTTTTATTTTAAATTAAAAGAACAAGATGATAGATTGAGACAGACTAATTTACCTTTGATATGTTAATTTCACCAACTGGGTCAAAATAAATTTACATATTAATAATTTCAAACTTACTTTTTTATTGACGGACTGGTAGACCGACTCATTATCTATTTTGAATGTACATTATTGAAACAAAAATTTGATAAAAATTAATTGTCTATTTTAAAAGTATAGTGACATCATTGAAAACAAAATGATAAAAATTATTAAGCATGCTTGTAGGATTGTAAGTGTTTTTTTTTATCATAGAAATATGCATATTTTAACTTCCATTATATGCATATAATTTACAAATGAGTTAATATATTTCCTTCCGATTTTGATTACTAGACAAGTAACATGTAGTATGCTTTTAACTTATTCTCGCATAATGCATCTGTTCTTTCAAATAGATATAACGAAGAAACAAAAATGAGTAAGAAACGAAAATGGAGAAAGAGAGGAAGTGAAAGAGAAATGGGGAAAGAGAAATGTGTGGAGGTGTAGCTGCCCAGTAAAAATAAATGAGTAGAAATAAAATTTTTAAATTAATTAAAAAAATTTAAATGTAAAAGTAAAGTGGTTTTAACCTAGGATAAAATTGAAATTAAAACAATTTGGAGAAGGGGAGGAATTGTAGTGGTGGAGGCAGCAACACCCAACAATTTATGACTTTTTTTGTGACAGCATGGTCCAACCCATTTTCAGCAAGCCGGAAGTAGAATGGTTAAAAGGAGTTGGGTTGGCCCGTTTTCCCACCCTTAAAAAGGACAAAACATGACACCTCTAACATCTTCATCCTATCCTTCTAACTTTTTTTAAAAATTTATTTTTAACCTTAGTAAATACCTTTTTTACTTTCTCTCTTTCTATTTAAAGTAAGTGTGTTTTATCCTCACCTCAAACACTTCATCCTACACTTTCAACTTTTTCAAAAATTTATTTTTAATCTTAGTAAATACTTTTTTTACTTTTTCTCTTTCTATTTAAAGTGATCCTACACTTCTTTAACTCTGCATCTTTTTAACAAAATTTTAAAAATTTTATTTTCTATTTATAATTTAGTAACTATTTAATTTAATTTCAAAATTTAATATTATTAAATTCTTTTCATATTTTAATAATTATTAAAATATAATTTATATTATTATAATAATTATATTACAAAAATTAAAATTAAAATAATTAAAATAAAAGTAATAAAAATAAAAGTAATTATATAAAATATGATTTAATATATTTAATAATATATTAAATTATATTAAAATATTAAATTAATAAAAGAGGATATCAAAAATTTTAGATTTCTTAATTATTATTATTATTTTTTATTTCTTTAATATTACTATATAATAATATAAATTATATTTTAATAATTATTTAAATAAAAAATATATTAAATAATATTAAAATTATAAATTAAATTAAATAATTAATAAAATATAAATAAAAAATAAATTTTTGAAAAAAATTTCGTGTCGGAATTAATATCAGATGATTTTTTCTAAATTTTATTTTTTACTTAAAATTTAATAATATTTAATTAATTTTTCATATAATTGTTATATTATAAAAATTTAAATAAAAGCAATAAAGATAAAAATAATTACATGAAATCTGATTTAATATATAAATTTATATTAAATTATATTAAAATAATAAAATAGGGTTTCGAAATTTTTAAATTTCTTAATTAATATTATTTTTTTATTTTTAATATTACTACTATAATAATATAAATTATATTTTAATAGTTATTTCAATATAAAATATATTAAATAACATTATATATTTTTTAAATTATATTAAATAATTAGTAAAATATAAATTAAAAACAAATTTTTATAAACTTTCACGTAGGAATTGGAAATCCGATAACGTAGGATAGCAATATCGGATGACTTTTTTTTTTAATTTTATTTTTATTTTTATTTAAAATTTAATGATAATTTAATTTAAATATGAACAAAATTAAATTTTAATAATTATTAAAATATGAAAAATTATTAAATAATATTAGTTTTTTAAATTGAATTAAATAGTTATTAAATTATAAATAAAAAATAAAGTTTTAAAAATTTTGTTAAAAAGGTGTAGAGTTAAAGAATCATAAGATTACTTTAAATAGAAAGAAAAAAAAAATAAAAACAGTATTTATTATGTTAAAATAAATTTTTGAAAAAGTTGGAGATGCATGATGAAGTGTTGAAAGTGTACACATATGTTAGTTCAACCCGTTTTGGTCTAGTTCATTCTTAACATGTTAAGAATGAGTAGAATTGGGTCGGTTTTGTAACTTGTCTCGTCAGATGGATTGAAGGTTTGTAACTAATCCACTTTCTTCTTAATTATTTATCTTAATTTTTTATTTTTAAAAAATTTTAAATTATATTTTATTTTTTAATAAATACTTATAAATAGATGTTTAAAGCATACTTAATTATATTAATGTTTTAAAAGTTTTTAATTGATTAATTAATATTTTTAATTGGATGAATTAAAATAATTATTACAATTATTTATTATTTACTCTATTATAAATTGAAACTTATAGGTGTTAATGATTTAAACTATATAATAGTACTGCATATTTACATAAATATAACGTATAAAATTTAATTCTTTTATTTATTTTTATTTTAAATTTTAATTTTAAATAAGTAAAAAATAAAATTGGAAGTATGTTGAATTAGAAAAACATATACCGTGAACCACTACAATTTGAAGTCGTTCATTGTAATTAAATTTTCAAACTCATACTTAAAACTAATGGAAAATGCAAATTGTTTTTAATCAAGATTAGGAGTATAAACTTTAGACACAAGTAACACGTAACAGGTTTCAAGTTGTGACTTTTATATGTAAAAGATTATCAGACACTTAAACTAATAAAAGAGTTTTAAAATATATAAAAATAAAAGTTTTAAAATATATAAAAATAGAATAATAAGTATAAGAATGTAATTATACTATTTAAAGAAAAATACCACTTTAGGCCAACAATATTAACAATTAGTTGTTTCAATAAATATTTTGTAAATATTATTTAATTGTTTTAGACTAACAATATTAAATGAACTTTGTTGGATTGCATTGTTTAATATATTTGTTATCCATATTATTCGCATGTTTAAAAAATGTTTGAAAAAAAATAATTTCTACAGTAAGTGATAGTCTATTAAGTCATTTAGTAATTTTTTAGACAAGTTTTATGATTTTTTTATTTTATTAAAAATTTTACATAATTAACTTATTCTTTGATTTTTTTTCTTATTTATAATCACATCTACAAAGCTTACTTTCAATATGATTTTGCTACAATTTAAACTCCATGTCCAGACTATTTTTACTTATAAAATATTTTATTGCAACATCACTTAGATACTAGTATAACTTTTTAATGAAATTTAAACTCAACTTTACATACCTCTCATAAACATATTTTAAATGCACCGCTGAATGAATTAAAAGTTAAACATAGTTTAAAATTAATGAACACTTTTTCATTTTATTAAGACATAAAAACATTTCTTTACAAATAAATAGAAGAGATAGCCATTCTGCTGTACACTTTTTTTTTTCAGAATTTTACTTTGTTCTCCCGACATTTGGACAACTACTTCTTGATGAAGGTTATTCTATTGATTACTGTTTTTATTTTGGTAGATGTGAAGAAAATATAAATATAAATATAAATAAACAAAAATAATGTTTTCACTAAGAGGAATTAATAAAATATTTTTGCTTTGTAGTATATATAATTTTTTAATTTTAATATTTAAATAATTGTTTCATTACTATTTTTAAGTGATTTTTTATTTAAACTTAACTGGTTTTAAACTAAACTAATTATTATATTTTTTAAATGACGATTTATTTAAGTTAATTATATTATTGTTATAAAAAAGGGTGACGTCGAATTATAAATCTAAAAAGTTTTGTAAAATAAATAATTTATTCAAATTAAAAATATGAAATAATAAGTAAAGAACGGATCCCTAAATAAATGTATTCCATCACATCCTTCAAACTGTTCGACTTTTTCTGGAAACATTTTTTCTTCCCTGGACTGTCTGTGCAACAATGGAGTTTTGGGGTGAGACCGTTTCTTTTCAGTTCGCTCTTCGTTTGGCTACCCTAGCCATTTATCTTCTATTTCGTGAATTTCTATTCTGAATTTTTCTTTCAATTTTCTACTGTATAAATTTATTAATCTAGAACAGTACTCATCGTGCTTTTGCTGTTTATTAGACAATCCAATATCTTCATGCATAGATTTTATTTTTAATTCCTGTATTTCATTATGTATGGTAATTATCCTTAGGTTTTGTAAAGTTTGGTTTTTGTTTAATATTGGTACAAATGCGATCAGAGTTTTTCTATAGTTTAGTCACTTCATATAGGTCATTTGTCGAGTAGTCGAGTTTGTGAAAAACTTCATCGTTCTACCAAATTTTGGAGTGTGTCATTGAAGTATTTGACCCGAGAGTTCATATTATGGAGAAAATTGTCTGTGATATTTTATATTAAAGTTTAATGCTGAGGTTTTAAAGGTGGGTCCTTGGCAGGGTCAAACTATTTGCAACGGCAAAAGTAATTAAATTTGTTTCCCTATTTGGGTTTATTCACCCTGTTGAAAGAGATCTTAGGCTGAGGTGCAGAAAGGAGTTAAATAACACTTTTGTGATTCAATCCCATCGTATTATACCAAGCTTGCAGAAAAAAAAAAATTGCATTTGATGTTGTATTCATGGGTACAAAAGTATTATTAAATTAAAACCATATTTCTATTTTCTATCCTTTTTAGGTGTTGAGGTGAAAAGTGGAGAATCTCTCAAGGTTGATCCAGGAGACGACAAGATTATCCACCTTTCAAATGTATAGCTTTATTTGTTAACAAATGAACGTTGAGTCATCGACCTTACTTGGAATTAATAATCATTTGCTTAAATGGTTAAATCATCATTTGACAGGCATGCCTGGGGGATGTGACTAAGGCTAAAGGAGAATCGGTGGCCCTGTATGTGAAGTTTGGTAACCAGAAGCTTGTGCTTGGAACGCTTTCTTCTGATAAATTTCCTCAAATATCTTATGATTTGATATTTGAGAAGGAATTTGAGCTATCCCATAGCTGGAAAAATGGGAGTATCTTCTTTACCGGATTTAAAGCTCAATCTCAGTCGGAGTCATATCCTTTTAATACTATTTACTATTTTAACGTGAAAACATACTTTCTCTTGATAGTCTCTAATACATTCTGTAATCTTCTTACTAATATTGTGTCCTTAACTTCATTCTTCTTTTATCATTACGGATAATGATGAAGATTCTGAAGGTGAGATACTTAGCTAGAATATGATTAGCATGGTTGTTATTATTATTATTAACTGAACTTATTCTATTATATTTCTTTCAGATTTTGATGAAGATATTCCAGTTAGTGCTGCCAATGGTAAATATGTCCATCCACTGTAGCTAGAATGTCACAAAGCAATTTATCTAGTGTATATTGTGAACCATATATGTAGGGAAACCTGACTTTGAGATTAAGCATGGTGTCAAACCTGATGAAGCTAAACAGAAAAAGACAGCAGATCCAAAGAAAAATGAGAAGGCTAAGGAAAAGGATGCAGATGGTGAAGATGAAGATTCATCCGAATCTGATTCTGACGATGATTCAAGTGAAGATAAGGTATTTGTAACAAAAATGCATGACATTGACTTTACTAAGTATTAGAGAAATTTGATTGTTTGGGAGTAAAAACATTCCTTTGTATTCTCATGTATGTCTACTCTTCTAATTTGGTTTTCTTTTTGTTGGATGTGAATATCTTTTGTCATCACATATCAGTTTGGGAATACAAAATTTGTTGATGATGATTATAGTTCAATTCTGTTATTTGTTGTCCAATCTGTCCTTATTATTCAGCCAACCCGTCATGATAAGAATTGTCAACTGTTTGGTCGAAGTAAGATTTTGATATATGTTTTCTGTTTTACATGTTTGTGAGTTGGGTAATCATTATTTACATGTTTCTTCTCTATATTGTTTAATCTGGTATTGACTTGCTATTCTGATTAGTAGACTGTGGATTGAAGGACAATTTTAATGATTGATTTTTAAGTTTAATTTATTATTATTTTGCTGTGATGATATATTGTTTAGCCCACAACAAATGGTGACAGAGAAAGTAGTGAAGGTGATGAGGATAGCGATGAAGAGGATGAGGATGATGACGAGGATGAGGATGATGATGATGATGAATCGGATGAGGAGACACCCAAGAAGGTAAGGAGGGACTATGGGGTGTTTCATTTTTGTTGTTGGTTTTGAATTTAACTTGCATTTTTTTCTCATTTAGATTGAAGCAGGCAAGAAGCGGAATATTGACTCTGCCAAGAAAACAACTATCCCTGTGAAGAAGGCAAAATTTGTTACTCCTCAGAAGACTGGTTAGTTGGCCTAGGTTCCCTCTCCCCCCTCCAAACTCTGTTTGTTGTGTGAGATTTGTTTTTATAAATAATCTTTATGTTTTTCACCCCAAGCCGTATTTTGTTTTGTACTTGTTTGGGTTTGCTAAATTGGATAAATTAAGTTGTGAATAATATATTTTAGATATGAGGTTTTAGGGTAGTTACTAGCTGTATGCCATGACCTGCTGCTTGGTCTCCCCATGCTAAATTGGATATTTTAAGTTGTGAATAATTTAATTTAGATGTGAGGATTTAGGGCAGTTAATAAAAGTATTGTGTGGTATTATAAAGTCGGCATGGTCATTGATTGGTCTCCCATGACGCTTTTAGCTCATCACATGAAAGCCCCTCACTTTACCCATTTTTTTATGTTGCATCCCATTTATTTAAGCGATTTTTCTGATATCATTTGGCTTATGGTCAAACTTATAGGGTTGGAAACTTTCTGATAGGTAAAAGGAAGGTTTTCAGCAGAAGAAAAACTGTATGATTTAGTTTATTAGGAGATATAAAAGGGATAATGAGTTATAACTGTCTGTGGGTAAGTTTTGTTGTCTCAGACTTTTATAAAGTCTATGTAAACAGTTGTTTTTAGCAGTTTTTTAAGAAGTTTTGTAAAGGAAAGGCTAGGGAGAGTTTGGTCCTCTCGAAAGACCAAGGCTAGTGTAACAATTTAGATTATTGTGCTTGTTTCATTGTTAATAAAGTTGTCTAGTTTCTCTGGGTGAACATCCAAGAACCTGTCTTGGAAATCTTTACAGTTTTAAACAAATCTGGGTGCCTATCACTTTCTCCTAAAATCAGTTGCCTCCCTGTCAGTTTCAAACTTTGGATATTGGTTAATCACACCCTTTTCACCAAAATCATTCACCTCTTCCTTGGTTTTAAACTTTAGCTTTTGTCACCAAGCCAAACCCCTCCAGCCTGCATATTTTCTGGTCAAGCATTGCCTTTTTCTAGTAGTCGTAGTGTTTTGGCTGTTATACTGCCCATTTATTCTATTCGTAGTGACTCCCTCTACAAGAGAATTACTGTTAACTACAATTGTAATTAGTTTTACAGCTAATCACATATAATACAAGCTTGAGAATGAATATTGCTCCGAGCTTGGAAGGAAGCTTTGAAAACTCAAAAGGTTCCAATTGTTTGGTAAAATGTCAGCCAATTGATTAGAGGAAGAGATTGGCAGCAAGTGAGACAGTCCAACTTGCAACTTTTCGTGTACAATGTGGCAACCAATTGTCTATATGTTTGGTGCATTTATGGAAACTTGGATTTGAAACTGTTAGATATATTATCTTTATCTTTTATCTTTATTTATTAGTTTGTTATTATTTCTTATTTGTATTTTGAACTTAGCCCATATTTGTTCTATTATAAATAGATGACCCTATGTGTATATTGTACACAAGGGAGTTTTCACTATATTCAACTTGGTATCAGAGCGGGATCGGTCGATCCCGCTCTGGTTTCTGCCTCGCATCTGTCCGGTGTTGTTGTCTGTCACCGCCCGTTGTCGCCCGCCTTCGGCCGTCCACTGTTGTTCGCCATCAGTTGGTTGTTCACCGTCGCCAATCGTCTACCACCGGCCGTCGTCCAAGTTTTGTCCGTCTAAACCCTTGGGGTTTTCTTGTTCCTCGTTGGTGTGATTCATCTTCTTCAAAGATGGCGTCTAACAATACTCTTTCTTTCTCTGGAAGTCCATCCATTATTTTCGAAAAGCTAAATGGAAAAAAATTATCTATCATGGTATGCTACCATTGAAATGTGGTTCCTTGACCACCTTGAGCGAGATGGAAGCCATGTGCCTACTGAAAAAGTTGATTAGTGGAAACAAGCAAATTTCTAGTTGTGTGCCCTATTATGGCAATCAGTGGAAACAAGCAAATTTCTAGTTGTGTGCCCTATTATGGCAATCAGTGGAACCCAAACTTCTTATATTTTTTAGGGCTTTCAAAACTTGTCACTCCTTTTGAAAGAAAACTCAAAGCATCTATGCCAACGATATTCAATGTCTCTATGACATTGCAAACAAGCTTGCATCTCTTAAAATGGCAAACCATGATATGGTGTCCTTCATGGCTGAAACCCAATCTGCTGTCGAAGAACTCAGGATATTTTTGGAAGCGAATCCATTAGAGGATATCAAGAAGAAACTAGACAAATTTTACATGGTGTTGATGCTCCGTGCCCTACATCCCAATTTTGATCATCTTAGAGATAAACTTCTAACCAGTCATGAGGTCCCCCCATGGAAACATTGACCACTCGCCTTCTACTTGTCCCGACACCTCAAACTCAGGAAGCGCATGAGCTAGTGGAGCCATTTGTCATGGTTGCCACACGAGGAAGAGGAGGATGAGGAGGTCGGGGACGTCCTCAATGCACATACTGCTGTTAGGATATTTACCCTATTTATCATCATTATATTGTGTCTAGGGTTACCCTATTTATCATTATTATATTATGTCTAGGGTTACCCTATTTATCATTATTATATTGTGTCTAGGGTTACCCTATTTATCATGATTATATTGTGTCTATGGTTACCCTAATAATTATCATGTACTCTTGTATAAATTTATTTTTATAAATAAAATATTATGAGAGAGATCAATCAAACCCTCTAAAATTATTTTATAGTTTAATTCTCAAGTTGGTATCAGCGCAAGTTGTCTGAGTCTCTTCCTACTCTTTGTTGCCGCCAGTGGCCAGCGCCGCCACCGGTGGCCTTAAAGTTTTCATCTTTTCTGAAATACCTCAATGAGAAGTTCTAATCTGATTTCTGTTTAGTCTCCAAACCTTAGTTGTTGTCCACAATTCTCTGGCACTGTTTGCTGCTGTCCAGCGTCGTTTGCAGCTGTTTGGCGTCGTTTGCAGCTGTTCGGCGCCGTGTGTCATTGTCTGGTGCCATTTGTCGTTCTTCATCTAACACTATTTTGCCACCATAGAAGTTGTCCATAGAAGTTTGTCACTATCAACCTATGTTCCTGACGCCATTTGCCACTGGCTGCTGCTGTCCGTTGTTTCCCACCGTCCGTTGTTGTCCGCTGCTGCCCACCGTTTGTCGTTGTCTAGTGCCATTTGTCGTTCTCCATCTAACATTGTTTTGCCATCGTGACGAGCTGTCCACATAAGTTTGTCACCATCAACTTTTGTTCCTGTCGCTGTTTGCCACTGTCCGCCATTGTCCGTTGCCGCCCACCGTCCACTGCTATCCGTTGTCATCCACCGTCCACCGTTGTTCGCTGCCAACCACCGTCTACTGTCATCCGTTTCCATTAGCTGCCACAGTTTAGTTCGACGACTAGTGGATCTGGATCACTTCCTTGAGCTAGAGGGCTAGTTCTCTGGCGACGTCACGCGCGCCGCATTTGTCCGACGTTCGCCTCTGCCGTCATCACATTTTCTCTGGCGAAGTTAGGGGTTTTTTGCGCCTCGAGGAGCGGACCCATCCCTAGTCGTTGCCTCATTCTCATCCACATGCGTCGTCACGCACGACTTTTCTTCGATAAGCTTCCGACGCGTGTTTGTCACATGCCACCTTCCCGTTGTCGGAATCACACCATGCCACTGTCATTCGTCTTGCTTGACCAAATAAAAAAAAACTTTTTGTTTCAACATTTTACCTCGATTTCAGCATTGTTCCTTAGCCTCCTTTCATAATATTTGTTTAGCTTTGCATATTGTAGCAGTTGTGATGTTCTTGATGACTTGTGACATTTATTTGCAAGTCTCGTTATCAACTGATTAACACCAAGGAATTTCAACACTAAAGTCATGGGTTGAAGGTTGCTCATTACATGAGGGGGAGTTTATTTTTGGCAAGATTAAGAATCTTAGTCAAACAATTTCACCAGCCCCTTGTCAAATTTGTTTTTGGATGCTTTGATGAATTATGGAGACCATTATGATCTTCCACCTTCACGAGTTGTCATCGGCGTGCCATCATTTTCGTCGTTCACCGTGAGGGGAGTATATTTCAGCCACTACATGCCCCATCAATCAATGATGGCAATTTAGTTCCTGTAGTTTGTCGCTTTCAACCACTGCAGGCCCCATCAGTCAATGATGACAATTTAGTCCCTGCATATGTTTCAGCCACTGCAGACCCCATCAATTAGTGATGGAAGTTCAGTCCGTGCAGTTTGTTTCCGCCACTACAGGCCCATCAGTCAGTGATGGCAATTTAGTCCTAGTAGTTTGTCACTTTTAGCTACTGCAAGCCCCATCCATATTAATGGAATCCAATCTCTATAGTTTGTCTCTTTTAGCCATGCAGGCCCATCCTTATTTGATGGAAATCTAGTCTGCAGTTTGTCGCTGTCTACCACTCGTCATCCACTTTTGATGGAAATCAACTTTATCAAAGTCATACTACTCGAAGGTTCATGGTGCTAGTTGAAGTTTCGTGGTTGTACAATATTATTCTCCATAAGCTTCTGAGGAATCTCTTTGGGTACGTTCAATTTGGTTTAGAGACATTCTTTCTCGATGTTCTGAAGCATGTGTGCATGTTGTTCTAAGCTGAAGTTCCCAAGTTTCTAAAGAGATCTCAAATTGAGTTTATTTATTCTAAGCTTGGTACATACAATTTGTATGCTCCAGCTTGAGGGGGAGTGTTAGGATATTTATCCTACTTATCATCATTATATTGTGTCTAGGGTTACCCTATTTATCATTATTATATTATGTCTAGGGTTACCCTATTTATCATTATTATATTGTGTCTAGGGTTACCCTATTTATCATTATTATATTATGTCTAGGGTTACCCTATTTATCATTATTATATTGTGTCTAGGGTTACCCTATTTATCATGATTATATTGTGTCTAGGGTTACCCTAATTATCATGATTATAGTGTCTAGGGTTACCCTAATTATCATGTACCCTTGTATCAATTTATTTTTATAAATAAAAGATTATGAGAGGGATCAATCAAGCCCTCTAAAATTATTTTACAGTTTAATTCTCAAGTACTGCAAAAGGATGGGTCACACTCTAGAGTTGTTACTCTCCCTTCCAAAACCGCCAATGTTTCAAAGACTGAAACTTACACTTCGAAGACTGAAACTTCCACTTCTAAGTTCACCGAGGATGAATATCAAGAATATCTAAGGTTAAGTCTAATAGAAATTGATTGTCATTTTGTTCGTGAAAAATTGTTGAATAAAGAAATATGTACTGAGTTTGTTGGGTCAAATGATCAACTCGCAGATGTGTTGACCAAGTCATTAAGGGGTCTTCAGATTGAGTTTATTTGTTCCAAGCTTGGTACATACAATTTGTATGCTACAGCTTGAAGGGGAGTGTTATATATATTATCTTTATCTTTTATCTTTATTAGTTAGCTTGTTATTATTTCGTATTTGTATTTTGGGGTCTATATTTGTTCTATTATAAATAGATGAGTCCTATGTGTATATTGTACACAAGGGAGTTTTCACTATATTAATATGACAGCTGACTGGATGTACTATAAAACAATGGTAGATGGATAAAAGGAACATTGAGATACTAGAGAAGACATGTTAACCATGTAGTTTACAAGTAGTACGGGTTAAAGCTCTATACTTGACTTCACACTATAACGAAGAAACTATATTACATTAATCCCAAAAAAATCATTTTAATTAAGTCAAATAAATAACTATATTGTATTTTATTCTAAGAAAACATGACAGGATGGGACTCACGACTTTTCGTGGGCTGTTTAAAATTGGGTTTGGCCCATTAGGGTGGGAGGCGAACTGTCACCAGGATGATTATAAACAAAAGTGTTAGATGTCCAAAATTTTCCACCAAGTTTCTCAGTTGTTTTGAGGTTGTAATTGTGTGAGAGAAAAGTGCAAATTCGCAGAAGTCAAGTGCTCGTAAAGTTTATAGGTATGTGTTAGGTTCCTGGGATTGGAACCTAACAAGAACACAATCAAAAGATGGAGACAGAAAGAAAGAATGGGTTTTCTGTATTATTCACGGTAAAAGAAACCTTTTTACAAGAATGAGTTGGGAGCATAACCTCCCTGGTTGAGGGCATAACCCCTCTCTACAAGCTAAAACGCCTGAATTTACACAAAGTATATTCGATCCCCTTTACAGAGTTGTAGAGAAGAGGGAGGATCCTCCTGAGGAGCATGCAGATCCCTTGGTTAAGACCTAGTTTTCAGAGTTTAGATGGTCTAGGATTTTGAACTCATGGTTGAAGAGCGTATATGTTTTGATAGGGGGTGTTGGAGGATATTGTATCCTAAGAAGAGTAACCACCATTGACAATGTTTGTCATAGCCGGGAGAGTTATGATGAAGATTTTTCCTATGCATATATTGTCTTTTTTGTACAGTTACACATCTGAATGAAGATTTTTTCCATGTATATATTGTCTTTTTTGTACAGTTACACATCTGAATACCGTTTGATGAGTTTACCATGGGTGTGCTTAGGCTTTTGAATGTAGCGCCTACACAACTACGTTCGAATAGTTGGGGCTGTCTGCAAGCCTTTAAGTTAATTTGTAAGGCGTTATACTTGTCTCTCTCTCCAGGGTGTTTTTTATACTTTTACCACACATGGTCGAGGGATTTGACTACTTGGTTGTCTTTGATTAGGAGGCCAAAGGCTGCACTCCTGAGTCCATAGTCAAATTCGTTCAAAAACTTTAAGTTTGGATTTTCCAAAGTGGTGGTCGGCACTCTTCTTCGATGAATACAGTGGCAAAAAAATTCTCCTTTTATTGAACCGACAACCTTGTGAAATATCAGGAATGGCAGAAGGACGTCTTGTCGGAGGAAGATAGGAGAATTGTGGGAGTTCTGGAACAATTGCCGAATAAGTTGCTGGCTAGAAAATGACCTAAAACATTTAGATAAATGTGAATTAAAAAGCAATAATCTTGCAACATTTGATGTATGCCCATGCTTTCTTTCTACTACAAAATTTGATGCGGAATCTTAGTGCAGACATTTTTATGCTAGCCCCAGATTTCATAAAAATCAGGGCATTGAAACTCTAAGCCATTATCTGATATTAGAATCTTGACTCATGCTTGAAATTCAAACGTTAAACAGTTTTGATTTGAACAATGTTAACAGAAGGTGTACTAGAATAGAAAAATGTGACTTAAAAGGCCCTTTTGGTTCTCTAAGAAAATAGAGTTCTTTGTGTTTGTCAAAAAGACTAACATCTTCAATGTATACCATAAACAAAATTAAGCGTTATTTACTATTGAAAGTGAAAATAATTGTTAGATCGATATGATATTAAATGTAAACTCTACTATGTAGAAGATATTAAAGAGTTGAAAATGACTAGAAAAGCAAATTGTTTAAATATTACGTAGAAGTTATGGATCTATTTGGCAGAAGTACATTGATTGGTTTGATACCATGGAAGCTAACAAAATAGGATTTATTGTTTGGCATGATCTTTGACTCCTATAACAAGGATCCATGATTCATTTTTGACTAGGAATTAACTGACTAGCTTGTTGCATGTCGATGTTGAGTATGTGACCACCCAACAAATGAAGTAGGTTTGACTTGGTTAACACAATTAAAACTGTGACCAAGTGATCTGAGACGTTGTAGTGAGCCAAGTAGTTGCCCCACTTGTTTTGGACTGAGTTGGTCCCTTTTAGCTTCATGCTTGATATTATTCTGCATTGTTGAAGACATGTTCCCCTGAGATTGTTGTGAGATTGATTCTTTGTTAGCCGTGAAGTTGTTAAAATGTGATTGCTGGAACTATATCCAGGAGAAAACCTAAACAATGTGTACCATTTTTTGCAATATGTGCATTGTTTGGTAAGTTCACAACCTTGGATCTTCCTTTTCCTCTTTCATTATTTTGAAATTTCTGATTGTCTACAGAATTAAAAATGACCTTTGGGTTATATAAATTTTTAATGTGCCTTCAGCCAATAGTGTAAGCTTATAGAATAGTTACTTAGTGGTGTAGTATAAGAGTCTCTTTTAAGAAGTGATATGGAATTTGAACCTTATTGCCTCTGTTCTCCATATAAAAGTTGGATCTTAGCATTAGGTAGGTTAGCTTGTGAGTTTACAAAAATGAAACTTCTAGTTTAACCATGTTTGAATCCTTTACTTATCACCACAGTAAAACTAAAATCATATTGATGAGAATTTATCTGTTCAGATAGCAAGAATGTTGTCCATGTCGCAACGCCTCACCCTTCTAAGCAGGCTGGAAAAGCAATTGCAGATAACAAGCGGCAGACTCCGAAGTCAGGGGGAGATTACAGCTGCAAGCCTTGCAGCAGGTGATTGGGGATTTTTTTTCATACTGATTTGTCTCCTTTTTCAAGTAATTAGGAATATCAATTCATTCATAATTTTTAAATTGGTTTGCAGGTCATTTAAGACAGAAGATGCCTTAAACTCTCATAATAGGGCGAAGCACAGTGCTAAGTAAAACTTTTCTTTTTGTCAGAACCATGAGTATGTTGATTTTTATGGCTTTGGATGATAATGAAAAACAATTTAGTTGATGTAGAAGAGCTGGTTAAGTTATGTTCGTTTCCAACTTGGACTAATCAACCCGAGACTGGATCTCCAGTTTTATATTGTGGGTTTGTGGTTGTTGGCCTTTTGACCTTGATCCTATGTGGGGTTCCTTTCCACTTCCTTTATTGTCTTTGTGATGAAATGTGGAAATACTCTCTACAACTCGTGAAATAACATTGCTAACGAAGAAAATTGCAAGTTAAATGTTGCTAAAGAATTACCAATGTTTTAAGGGTCCTCCACCACCACACCTTTCTCCCTCCACCTCTTATTTACTATTTTGTCCCTAAGTAAAATTTTATTTTTATTTTTAGGGTTATTATATTTTAATTTTACTCATTCACAACCTATTCCACTAATAACCTATTCTAGTCCTCCGTTCATGAGTAAAATACTTTTATTTTATTTTAACATTATATTTCTTCCTCTTTTTCTTTCTGTCGCTGTGAGATGCTACAAGTTGCAAAAGTTGGTGATGGTGGAAAGAATTATCAAGCAGTCTCCCTTTCGTGGTGCGGTGTCGCTCTCGTGGTACAGTGCGTGTGTTGCTTCCTCCGAGTGCGTATTCGAATAAACCTTTAAATAAAACCCTAAAATAAAAAACGTAACCTTTAAACGGAGGTGACATCCTTCAACGGATGTCAACATCCGTTTAAAAAAAAACTAGGATTTGTTTTATTAGTTTATTCTTTATTTTGGAAATATTTTAATAATTTAATTTAAATGTTTTGATTTATTATTTTTATATATTAATGTATTTTAATAATGTAAGGAAAATGACGAAGAAAGAAACGGAGGAGGAGAAATGAAACGGAGGAGAAGTGAAACGGAAAAGACAAATGGAGTTGCAGAGTAAAACGGAAGACAAATTGTTAAACGGAATGAGAGATGAAAAGATTGGGTGCAGGGAGTAAAGTAGGAGAACTAGGTTTAAAATAAATTAAAATAGTAAAAATAAAAAATTTTAATCTAAGGATATAATTGGAATTAAAAACAATTGGGGAGGTGAAAGAAGAAAGGTGTGGTGGTGAAGGGAGCAAGACCCATGTTTTAATTATTAATTTAATTATGCCGTTTTTATCACTTTTATTAGCATATGGCCAATCTTAAACTAGTTTTAGGGTGTTACTCCCTCCACCACCACAACTTGCTTCCTCCACCACCCCATTCCCCTTTTATCCTTTTCTTTATTTTTTAATTCCTATTTTACCTTTATTAAAATTTTAGGATTAATATTATTTAAAATCTCACGTACATTCATTCTCTTTATCATTCTTCCTTCTTTCTCTTTATTATTTTTCCCAGGTTGTCTCTTATGTTCCACTATCTTTGGGTTGTCTCTCATGTTCCACTTCTTCTCTTTTATAGAATTGTAACGTGAGAGTGTGGTGGACTTTGTGTTTAGTAAGATTGAAAGTGGGGAAAGCAATTAATCTTCAGCCGTGACTGTGGTGGTGCTTCAAGGTGCTGGTTCAAAGGCGTGAGAGGGCGTGAAGGTGCGTAATAAAGCCCTAAAATATAAACCGTATAATCTTTAAACGAATGTGAGCCTCCGCCAACGGATGTCAACATCCGTGGATGTCGACATCCGTTTAAAGATTACGGTTTTTATTTTACAGTTTTTTTCTATTAATTTTGAAGATATTTAAATAATATAATTTATATTTTTTAATATATTATTTTTGAATATATTTTGATGTATTTTAATAATGTATTTTTGAAGATCTTTATTTTTATTAGTATATATTTAGATTTTTTTTTATTTTGCACGTTATATATAGTTAGGGTTTTTGTATAATATATATTTTTATATATGACTTTTTGTATTCTTTAATAATTTTATAATTATATAAAAAGTTATTTATTAGTTTAATTATAAAAGTAAATAATTAGGATTAAAAAAAAAAAAAATTATTTTTGTAATTATAAAAAGTTAATTTTGTAATTCAAAAAATATGTAATAGAATTGGGGAGGTGGAGGGAGAAAATGTAGTGGTGGAGGGAGTAACACCCCTAGTTTTAAAATGCTTGTTTTGTAATTATTGAGATATATCGGTGTCTTAAATAGTGTCACGGTATGTTTAATGGAACACTTGAATGTTTTCACTCGCTTTGAGCTAAGGTTTACTTCCATAACCTTTTTCCTTGCATGATGTATAAAAAAAATCCTTAATATTTGATACGTCAGATACTGAGCCTGCCAGAGATTGCATACAAGATTTTCTTTATATGTGAATTTATTTGTACGTCATATCAACAATTTATCCTGGTATAAAAAAGAAATGCCCAATTATATGGAACTACAAATTGAAATAAAATGAGATGTTCAAAATGATAATTTCAAAATTTTGAAGGATGATTTCATATTTTATTTTGATAAATGAGATACTAGTAATATGTGAAATTTTCGTGAAAAACCATTTGTAAAATGGAATAGCAGCATATAAAATGAAACCAAAAGTACTTCGCAAATACTCAATAATTTTATTGAAACCAAAAATAGCTTTTTGAAGTAATTTAGCATGCACACCTTTCTTTTTTATGCTTCTGAAAATAATGGTCCGAGAAAATAAAAGAGAAGAAAATGGATCCATCTGTGTTAAACTAAACTTGGGTAGGGGTTATCTCCAATGAACCACCCAGGAGGCTTGTGTAGAATATCAACAACCGAGTTATGGTGATCCCGAATCTCATTTAAACCCAAATGGCCTCAGCATTTCGAGATTTTCATTATAAGAAAAATGATATTTTGACAGAAAACTTTTAGTGCTATCTCTTCTTCTTTTTTATTCATTCTCTTTTTTCTTATTCTTTTATAATCATTCTATTATGTGTCAATGAATGTAAAAAAAAAAATGTGTCACCATGTCGTTACCTTTTCATTATACAATCCATTCTCCAATTTAGCAAACGAAATAACAAATTAACAAGCGTTTTCTGTTGAGTTCCACCAAGTAGGAGGATCAGACTAAAAATGAGCTGCACTCGAAAATGGTTAGTAGGCAAGCTCTCATGGTCAAAAGAACCAAACAATATTTTAGTATTCGGTGATATCAAAGTATTTTCAAAAATAAAATAAAAAAATGTTCAAAATCTAGGAACATTAGTTATAGCAGAAAAAAAATGCACCGTGAAATTTCTTTTACTCGTGGTTCAATCATAAAGTGTTATATTTAATAAATTTTATTATAAGTGACCATGTAACTTTACTCTACATGACTATTATAATTATATATATACATGTGTATATCAAATAGAGAAAAACAAAGTTTGTTTTGATACCCATTTTTTAATGACAACAGTAATCTTTTCTATTATAATCAACGCTCAAAAATTGAGATAACGTGCCACGGATATGTATATATACAAACTCACCCAACACGCTCATGGTTTCGAATTTTTAGATTGATATGTTTGAATTCTTTCATCGAAATTACAGATAAAAAGTTCGCTCTCAAATTCCAAAACTTACGCTTGAACAAGTGAATTATATAATATTTTTTAAAAATAAATTTTAAAAAATAAAAGAAAAATTGCCTAGTATAGTTATCTTAATATTTCTCCAAAGTAATGGCAACTGAACTGCTACTAGATTATGAGCATCAGGTATTAATATATCTATCATAAGCTGCTTAGTTTTATATGAATCCGGGCAGGTTGTAAGCAAAGCCATTTGCTAGAGACAGCTTTTTGAAAAAGTAAAAAAACTTGGTATCGCATTGATTTCAAATCTATGGTTATTCACAATGAAATTCATACATCATTAATCCATTTTCATCTCAAAACCCTTGACCACGTCATCCAACAATACTCAATAACAGAATATGAAACATTCATAGCTGAACTTTATCAAATGTATCGCTTCATCCCTGCAACAAGTTAAACTCGCCGCTTTTCCCATATTTCTTCCTCCCTTCCATTTGCAGAACATTACAATTGAAGCAGAAAATTGAACTGTTGTTACTATGGATATTACAAAGTTATATCACTAAATTGACAGTTTAAAATAGAATAACAATGGCAACTAAATCCACTAAGTAGGTGCAAACATCACAAAACAGATTACCTGCCACACTACCAAATCTTGAGCCAAATAACTACGTTGTTGCTGCTATATCTGATGGTTACCAGATTCACTGCCATTCTGTGCATCACTCCGTTCTTGATAATCATCGCTTTTCGTATTGTTCTTGTTACCCGTTTCCTCTTGCTCCTTCTCCCTGTTCCATTGCTCTATCTTAGCTCTCCTTTCTGCACTACTTTCTCTGACATCCCTCCCCACTGGACTTCTACTTCGTTTTCCCCCTCTATGCCGAGGACTACGGCTTCTAGGCCTCTTACCATGGTGGCCATGCGGCCTTTCAAAATCTCTTCTACTAGGATTACGGGCCGAATGTGAATGTTCCCCATGGTTACGGTTCCTTGGAGGGCTCCTGCTCCGGCTACCACTGCGGCCATTCCATCGCCTATTCCTTCCAAATAATTTCCTTCTCAAATCCCTGAAATTGAAAAAGTGAGGTTTAACCCAAGAACAGCCATTTCATAAAAGTTTATGATCTTGAAAAGCATGAAAACTACACAATAAATCAACCTGCTAATCTTCTTCAGGTGCATGAAGTTGCAGTAGCCACCCCGATTGCATACATTCTCCTCATACTGCCTACAAGTAGCTTCTCGAAAATCCGTTACAGGGGAAAAATCAACAATGATTGGGCGACCTAGATAGATGAGTAAGTTATAAGTTTCAACACAACAGCAAGGTTTATTTTGAGATTGGGGTTGACAGTAAAAGAGTCCGCACAGAATTTTCTTACACCATCCAAAAAAATTGGGTCACCTTAAAAATTGACTTATAAGATCTCCATTTATATACCTTGACGTGGTCATAGCGCCATACAATGAAAGAATTCCAACCCAGTCCACCAAGACCAGAAATTCTGAGAACGAAATTTACAAGATTGACCGTAGTAGGTGACCAAAAACAGGTGACTTGATAAATCCAACAAATTTCAGTACGATCGATTATGATATCATCTAACAATCTGGGTTTAGACCCAACTCAAACCTCAAAAAACCAGTAAGGTGAGGGTAGTCCCCCACTTGCATACTTTAATCTAGTCATATATCTAAACAGTATAGGATCTCCAATACTATTCATTGAACAAGTCCTTTTTCAACGAACGAGTGTGTGCATAGCCACAAGACATAAATATAAAGGACCATCGTGCCCCAATCTTTATCCTAACAAGACATTTGAAAGATAATAATAAAAAACGGTCATGTGACCGAGCACAAGGTACTATGTCAAAATGCACCCTCATCAAATAAAGCTTCAGACTCCCAACAAAAACTATAGGACGTG